TTTGTGAGAGTGTTGGGTCATCCTTCAGAATAGGTTGTAGATCCTTGATGATGCGTTGGAGAGGTTTTAGTTGGGGACTGAAGGTGATGGCTAGTGGCGTTCTGTTATTTCCTTTGTTAGGCCTGTCCTGTAGTAGGTGACTTCTGGGTACTCTTCTGGCTCTATCAATCTGTTTCTTCACTTCAGCAGGTGGGTATTGCAGTTGTAAGAACGCTTGATAGAGATCTTGTAGGCATTTGTCTCTGTCTGAGGGGTTGGAGCAAATGCGGTTGTATTGTGGAGCTTGGCTGTAGACAATGGACCGTGTGGTGTGGTCTGGATGAAAGCTGGAGGCATGTGGGTAGTCATAGCGGTCAGTAGGTTTCCGGTATAGGGTGGTGTTTATGTGACCATCGCTTATTAGCATCGTAGTGTCCAGGAAGTGGATCTCTTGTGTGGACTGGTCCAGGCTGAGGTTGATGGTGGGCTGGAAATTGTTGAAATCATGGTGGAATTCCTCAAGGGTTTCTTTTCCATGGGTCCAGGTGACGAAGATGTCATCAATGTGGCGCAAGTAGAGTAGGGGCGTTAGGGGACGAGAGCTGAGGAAGCGTTGTTCTAAGTCAGCCATAAAAATGCTGGCATACTGTGGGGCCATGCGGGTACCCATAACAGTGCCACTGATTTGAAGGTATACATTGTCCCCAAATGTAAAATAGTTGTGGGTAAGGACAAAGTCACAAAGTTCAGCCACCAGGTTTGCCGTGACATTATCGGGGATACTGTTCCTGACGGCTTGTAGTCCATCTTTGTGTGGAGGGCTTCTACATCCATAGTGGCCAGGATGGATTGTAGTTTCCTCAGGAAGTCAGTGCTGTCTCGAAGATAGCTGGGAGTTGAATCGCAAACCCGGGAAGCCAGCCATGTTGGGGCCTCGCTCCTGCCGGTGGGCGAACGACCCATGCCAGCCACCTGCCCAGGCGAGACGCACCCAAGGACAAGAGATCCAGCACCCAAGAGGGCAGCCCAGAGGTCCCCAGGGCACTTGTGCGACCCCAGCAGGAGCGACCCAGTGGGCTCCCCCCATACTACGCAGGCGCAAGGGGGCATCCAGCCACTACCTGCCGTGACACCCCAGGCACACACGATCTGCCCCCAACAGCCTCACGTGCTCAGTACCTACCCTGTCCCCTCCCTGCCCGACAGCCGCTGTCTAAGGCCCGGCGCACCCCAGCATGCCCCCACCTCAGCCCCCCAGGGCCTGTTTCCACATGACCTGGCCCCAGCTGAAACCTCCTGAGAACTGAGTGCCTCCCGCGCATGCCTGTAGCCCAAGTGGGCAGAGGCAGGGCACCCGCCGGTGGTGGTGGGGAGGGGTTGTGTCTCCATGGCCCATCCTATCCCTTGGCTTCTCGGCCAAGGTGGGGGCTGGCCAGTGGGGGCGCAGATATGGCCAAGCACGCCAAGACCCAGCAAGCTCGCTACACGCCAGGCCTTCGGGCAAGAAGGCAGCCCGCCCCTCTGTGCCAGGAGTTGGGTGGATCCTAGCCAGGAACCAGCCCAGCCCCCACCACTGACCACCCCCCTTCAGGCTGCCTGGGCCCTGAAGACTGAACTCCCCCGCCCTGCTTGTGGAGGGGGCGTTCCAGCGCTGAGGTGGGGGAATCTGCCACCTGCTCTGGGGAGGAATAGGGTCCAGGGATGCAGAACGGGCACCCAGAGCTCCCCCAGAGGGCCTGGGCTGAGCCAGGGCCGGGCACAGCTCTGAGCCGCCTGAACGCCCGCACCGCCAGGAAAGGTGGCCGGGAGTTCCCCTCGGGCGGCTGCAGCTTGCAGTGTGGGCGCTGGCTGCAAACAGGCGCTGCAGGGCCCTGCACGTTCACCGCGAGGAGCGTGGTGGCTGCAGGAAGGCTCCGTGCAGTAATGCAAACTGGGATACTGGGTCGGGAGAGGGGCTGCAGGGCGTGAGGGGCTCCGGCAGAGCTGGGGCGGGGGAGCCCAGGGCTGGGAGAGGAGGGGAGTTTGGGGGATGGGATTTAGAGGCATTGGCAGAGCTGGGGAAGCCCAGGGCTGCAGGTCAGGAGTGAGGGGCACCAGCAGAGCTGGGGGGGGGAGCCCCGGGCTAGGACAGCAGGGGACTGTGGGTCAGGATTGTGGGGCACCGGCAGAGCTGGGGGGGAGCCCAGGGCTAGGACAGCAGGGGACTGTGGGTCAGGAGTGAGGGGCACCAGCAGAGCTGGGGGGGAGCCCAGGGCTAGGACAGCAGGGGACTGTGGGTCAGGAGTGTGGGGCACCAGCAGAGCTGGGGGGGAGCCCGGGCTAGGACAGCAGGGGACTGTGGGTCAGGAGTGTGGGGCACCGGCAGAGCTGTCGTGGGGAGAGCTCTTAGCCCTAATAGCCAGGCTCCAGGGAGCTGAACCCCCACCCCCAGCCCAGCCCTACGCCTACCAGGGGGAAGCTGCTTTGCTGCGTCCTGCCATGTGGGGCTAGCAGCGGGAGGCATCCCCACTGCGTGGGCACAGCAGCAGGGGCCAGGGGGTGACCCACAGAATCAGACACAAACGGGGCCCCTGAGAGCACCGGCCTGCCCAGACTGGCTCCACCGGCCCCGGTGCCCCCTGTTTTGCCGCTGCCCATCCAGGACAGCCTCCCGAGGCTGCTGCCCTCCGCCACACCCCAGCCCAGCCGTGCAGCAGGGCGTGCTGGGAGCAGGGCTCCTGGGTGTGCTCTGGCTGCATGGGGCTGCTGTCACACGGGAGGTGCAGGCCGCCCTCTGCTGCCCCCGCTCTCCCGCCTCCACCCGCCCGCTGCTCAAAGCAGCTTCCGGGCCGCGCTCGCCTCTGGCCTGGGCTAGTGACAGCCCCCGCCTGCCTGGCCCGCAGCAGCCTGGCTACCACCCTCCCCACCGCGCCCCTTGGCCCCTGACTCATTTTGGGGCCCAGGCCACTCCTGCCCCTTTATATCTTTACCTGCCCCGTGGCTTTGCTCTCTGCTCCCATCCCCCTCCCCATTGTCCAGGCAGGGGCCTTCCCCGGGTCAGCTCTGACGCTGCCTCCATGTATGTCTGCCTTAGTGACTATCCAGCTGGGTGCGCAATGCCTGTAGACGCAGCGGCCCTGCTCTACCCCAGAGGGGGCTGCATTTCAGTGCTGGGTGCGCAATGCCTGTAGACGCAGCGGCCCTGCTCTACCCCAGAGGGGGCTGCATTTCAGTGCTGGGTGCGCAATGCCTGTAGACGCAGCGGCCCTGCTCTACCCCAGAGGGGGCTGCATTTCAGTGCTGGGTGAGCAATGCCTGTAGACACAGCGGCCCTGCTCTACCCCAGAGGGGGCTGCATTTCAGTGCTGGGTGAGCAATGCCTGTAGACGCAGCGGCCCTGCTCTACCCCAGAGGGGGCTGCATTTCAGTGCTGGGTGCGCAATGCCTGTAGACGCAGCGGCCCTGCTCTACCCCAGAGGGGGCTGCATTTCAGTGCTGGGTGAGCAATGCCTGTAGCGCAGCGGCCCTGCTCTACCCCAGAGGGGCTGCATTTCAGTGCTGGGTGAGCAATGCCTGTAGACGCAGCGGCCCTGCTCTACCCCAGAGGGGGCTGCATTTCAGTGCTGGGTGCGCAATGCCTGTAGACGCAGCGGCCCTGCTCTACCCCAGAGGGGGCTGCATTTCAGTGCTGGGTGAGCAATGCCTGTAGACGCAGCGGCCCTGCTCTACCCAGAGGGGGCTGCATTTCAGTGCTGGGTGAGCAATGCCTGTATGAAGTGCTGCCATGCCCCGCTGCAGCGGTGGCTGTATTTCTTTTGACTGGGTGAGCAATCCCTCTATAAACACCTGCCATGTTCCACCTCAGAGGTGGCTGCATTTCAGTGGTGCAGCAGGGATCCCTGTAGAACACAGCTGCCACGTCCCACCCCAGAGGTGCCCACATTTTAGCTTACTTCCACATTTGAAAATCACGCCCCCGCCAGCTATTGTTCTGTCGAATGTGGTTAAATTTTAAACCAAACCCACATTTTCTACAGTGCAGTCCCTGGACCTGGTTCTGACCTCCTTGCCACCAGCGCTCTGCCCTGGGAGCCTGCCCCATCATGCTGAACCCCGGGGTAGACAGAGGGGTGCAAACTGCCCCCTGCTCAGCTGGTGGCATTTCACTCCCGCTCTGCATTGGTGTCAATGATGGTGCGAGGTGCAGGGAAAGAGGGAACCCGGCTCAAGGGATAACGCAGGGCCACAGCCTCTGGCGCCGGTCATGTACCCCAGCTGGGGAGCTGGCTCATTAACTCACTCCTGCTTTTCACCAGTGGGAGCAAGGAGAGAACTGGTGCCAGTGACCTTCCCCTTGTAAAGACACTTCCCTCAGAAGAACCTCACACCCTTCTGTATCTTTGCTCCATCGTGCCCTGGGCGTGCAGATTTAGCTGCAATAGCTCAGGCTGGGACTTGCAAAGCAGCCTACATGAGCGGGGTCGGTCGACTAACTCACCCCAGACCTGCCTCCGACTCCTAGCTGCTGAGAATAACTGATAGCGAAAAGCAGCTGCACCAAATAATTAAAACAGGCTTGGCTCTTCGGAGCTGGGTGCAAAACCGCATTGCTCTCCTTGTGCTATGGGCTGCATCGCCCACTGTCATGGCGATACTTTCATTCTAGCAGGTGCAGATCCTAAATCTTCTTTGCTCTTCCCCCTCCCGAGCTCAAGGCGTTCGCCCTGCCAGATCCCGGAGCACGAAGCTCACAATGAAGCTATCGCAAATACCACGTTGGCCCCCCGCCCTCCCCCGATAATCACCATCAGGGTCCTGCCCAAGGGGCCTGACTCTCCCCACGGCCCTGCACTGAGCATTATGCCAGGGGCTAGAAAATGTATCAATCTTATTTAGTTTCATGCTGCAGCCACTCTGAATAAGAGCAGCTGATGAGAGTGTTACTGACCAGGTGCAGGGCACGGAGGCTCTGACCCAAGCCCTGCAACGTACAGCAGAGCGGGGTCTGCAGGAAAGCGATCGCAGCGGGTCCTCAACGTTACCTTATAAACTTCCCCATAGGTCCCTCCGCCAACTCTCTGCAGCAGCTCAAAGTCGTCCTGGGGATTTCGGGTGGAAATATCCAATGCCAACCTCTCTTGGACATCCATACCTCAGCGTTTTCCCGCAGACCGACGCTGTGGTGCTCAGTGCCGGGCGAGCGTGTGTGTGCGTGTGTGCGCAGTGAAGCAGTGTGTGATCTGGGGAACGATAACGTTCTCTAGCTTTTATTTCCTGATTTGAACCGTCAAGAGCGTTGTGTGAGCCCAGAGGGCCCCCTAGACAGAATGTAGGATCCGTGCAGCACAAGGCAACCCAGAGGGGTCACTGCTTAGCAGGCCAGAGTCACAGGGGCTCAGAGAGCGGGAAGGATACCTATATAAAGCAACTAATGACCATACTCCTGGTGACTCAGGGGCACGGGTGGATTTTGGAGAGTGCCAGGGTCCATCCAGTTGATTTGTAAGCAAACAAATCAGTAAAGTGCTTTGAGATCTGCTGACAGCTCACGCGATTGGTCCGTCAAGAGAGATAATTAATTATTCCAAAAGGAGCGATAATAAATAACGCTTTGCCCGAGTCCCCCAGAAATCTCCAAGCACTTTGACAAAGTCGGGCTGGGATCACTGTTCCTGGTCTACGGAGGGGGAAACTGAGGCACGATGAGGGGCTGTGACTTGCCTGAAGCAGCAACAGCGGAGCTGGGAGTTGAACGCATTTGACCCCCAAGAGCCCCACCCTGCTCTAGCCACTGGGCCCCGCCCCCCTCCTGGAGCTGGGGTGAGAACCCAGGTGTCCTGACTCCCTGCCCACTGCACCATGCTGCTCGCCTGTGGCCCTCAGACCCCCGCGTGCCCAGCGCCTGCCGGGAGGGGCCGGGGGAGAAGGGGCGTGGCCCAAAGGATCAGAGGGTGAGAAGGGGGAGGGGGACATGGGTGGGGGGGTGGGGGGCCGGAGGCCAGGCAGAGAGGGGCTGAGGGGTAGAGAGGGGAGGTGGCAGGTGGAGGGAGTGGGGGGCAGGGGAGGATATGGGGGCGGGGCGAGTCCCAGGGTGGGCGTGGCCTCAGGGTGGGGGCGGGGCCTCAGGGGGAGGGCGTGGCTTCAGGATGGGGCGGGTCACAGGGTGGGGGTGGATGTGGGGGCGTGGCCGCAGGGCGGGGGCCGCCGTGGGGGCGGGGCTCCCGGCTGGGGGCGGGGCCCGAGGGCGGATATGGGGCGGGGGGGGGGGGGGCGCCGCTGCTGCTCTCGCTCCTCGGCGCGTGCACCCTTCCCATCATGCCTCGCGAGGGCGGCCGGCGGAAGCGGAAGTCGACGGCGTCCCGGCCGCCCGTGCCCGCGGCCCCGCCCCCGCCTCCGCCCCCGCCCCCCCGCAGCATGGCGCTGTTCGAGCAGATGCGGGCCAACGTGGGCAAACTGCTCAAGGGCATCGACCGGTACCGGGGGGCGATGGGGATAGCGTGGGGGCGGGCTGGCGGGGAGGGGGTGGGGGGAGATGGGGATAGCGTGGGGGCGGGCTGGCGGGGAGGGGGATGGGGGTGGGGGGCGATGGGGATAGCGTGGGGGCGGGCTGGCGGGGAGGGGGAGATGGGGATAGCGTGGGGGCGGGCTGGCGGGGGAGGGGGATGGGGGTGGGGGGAGATGGGGATAGCGTGGGGGCTGGCTGGTGGGGGGGGGATGGGGCAGCGGGGGGGCTGGCTGGTGGGGGGATGGGTAGTAGGAGGATGGGGATAGCATGGGGGCTGGCTGCTGGTGAGGGGGGATGGGGCTGGCGGTGAGGGGGGATGGGGGCAGCGTGGGGGTGGGCTGGCGGGGAGGGGGGATGGGGGTGGGGGGAGATGGGGATAGCATGGGGGCTGGCTGGCGGTGAGGGGGGATGAGGCTGGCGGTGAGGGGGAGGGGGATGGGGGTGGGGGGAGATGGGGATAGCATGGGGGCTGGCTGGTGGGGGGGGGATGGGGCAGCGGGGGGGCTGGCTGGTGGGGGGATGGGTAGTAGGAGGATGGGGATAGCATGGGGGCTGGCTGCTGGTGAGGGGGGATGGGGCTGGCGGTGAGGGGGGATGGGGGCAGCGTGGGGGTGGGCTGGCGGTGAGGGGGGATGGGTTGCAGGGGGGCATGGGGCTGGCTGAGGGGGATGGATAGTGGGGGGATGGGACAGTGGGGGGGATAGCATGGGGGCTGGCTGGTGGGGGGGGATGGGGCAGCGTGGGTGCTGGCTGGTGGGGGATGGGTAGTAGGAGGATGGGGATAGCATGGGGTCTGGCTGCTGGTGAGGGGGGATGGGGCTGGCTGGTGGGGGGGATGGGGCAGCGTGGGGGCGGGCTGGCGATGGGGGTGGTGCCTGATACAGGTTGGGTGCTCTCGGGGCAGGTGCCTAGGATGGGGGGGCAGAGAAAAGGGCTGGGGCTGACTGTAGCTGGGCCTGGATTTTGAGGTGGGGGGGCTGTGGTGTAGGCATTGTCTGGAGGGGGTGTCTAGTATGAGTAGAGGAAAGGCCTGGGGGCCAATGACTGGGTGGGCAGGAGCAGGGGGCCTTATGGGAGTGGAGGGGGAGCAGGGCTTGGTGGGAGTGGAGGGGGAGCAGGGCTTGGTGGGCGTGGAAGCGGCTGAAGGAAACGGCTGGAGGCTGGGGTGTGGTGTGGGGGAAAGGATCTCCTGCGAGCTGGGGGTGGCAGGGGACCTGTCGAACACTGGACCCCCCTTCCCTCCGGGGACTTTGTTGAGTGTCTCACCGACCCCTCTGCATGTCAGGTACAACCCCGAGAACCTGGCCACACTGGAGCGCTATGTGGAGACGCAGGCCAAGGAGAATGCTTACGACCTGGAGGCCAACCTGGCCGTGCTCAAGCTGTGAGTGGCAGGGGATGGAGGGGGCACCCATCACCCCTGCATCGTGCCAGGGAGCAAGACCCGTGCACGATCACGCAGAGCTGGGCTGGGGGCATGGGCACGTTTGAGGGTTCCTGGCTAATGCTGGGCCCCACCAGTTACAGGGAGACTCCCTAGTGCAAATGCCTGTCTCGGGGGCGGCACAGAGCGGCTGCGATCGCTAACCTAGTCCTTATGTGGCTTCGAACCCCGTGGAGCCAGGCCCATCACGGTCAGAGCCGTGGTTAGAGCTCAGAGTAGTTATTCAGAGCTGGGCAGTTGACTAACCACCACCAAGGGCTGGGAGTTGAAGGTCACCAGGTTGAGACTGGAAATGGACGCTTAACAGGGAGGGTAATTAGCAATTGGAACAGCTTACCGGGAGCCATCGCGGACTTTCCATAGCTGGCAATTTTGAAATTGGGACTGGCTGTTTTTGTGAAAGATTCTGTAGGTCAGGGAGGAGTTGAGTTAAGGCAGTCCTGGGCTATACGGGGGGGGGGGGGGGGCAGATGATCACAGCGGTCCCTTCTAGCCTTAGGCTCTATGAATGGTGCACAGCTTCTCCTCATGTCTGCGTGGTGATAAACCTGGGTTTGATGGGTGCCCCAGGGCTGCTGACCTCTTCTCTCTCTGTCCTCAGGTACCAGTTCAATCCTGCTTTCTTCCAAACCACCGTCACGGCTCAGATCCTGCTCAAAGCCCTGACCAACCTGCCGCACACAGACTTCACCCTTTGCAAGTGTATGATCGACCAGGCTCATGTATCCTTCCCAGGCTCTTCCTGGCATGCCTCTCTTGCACCCAGCGGCCTGTCCAACTGCTCTGGTCTCTGAAGGGCTCTCCCCACAGATTGGGGTGGCATAGGCAATGATGGGTGTACACCCTTGCTCTGACCTGGGGGAGACGCCCCCAGCAGTGGGAAATAAATTCATGAGCCACTGTCCCTTGGCTTCTGAGCGTGACAAGGAGCGAATGGTGTTGGCTTTAGGTGATGTGAACAGGGAGCTCCTTCAAGACGAGCCAGTGAACGGTGGTCGGCTGGTGAGGATGCTCAGTACTGACTTAGATCAGAACCAGCGCCCTAGAGGGGGAGGAGCCTTGTCTCCCATTCCCCTGAGCCGGTCACTCCACCTGTACATCGTTCTGTTGCGTCTGTTTCAGTTCCCCTGGCGGGTGCTTGGCTTTCTTGTGCCAAGGAACAGGTTACCACTTGCTCTCCTCCTTCCTTCCCTCCCAGCTGAGCCCAACCATGGGGAGCTTGGAAGTTTCTTCTGGACAGCAGGGCTTGAAGAGGGAAATATCTGCTCTTCATGGAGGCACTGGAATGCCGCTCTCCAACCCCCTGGCCTTGAGCAACGAGTGTCGGGGACAGGGTGACTTGCTCTTGTGCTCCAGCCCTGCTGGCTCAGCTTCCTTCCCCTCTCCCATGCATGTTTCCCTTGACCCCTGCCCCTCAGCAAGAAGAGAGGCCGATCAGGCAGATCCTCTACCTGGGGGAGCTACTGGAGACCTGCCACTTCCAGGCCTTCTGGGTGAGTGTCCCCTCCCCCAAGATCTTATTGGGCTTTACCAGCCTGAATGACTTGCGCCTCTTAGCCCACCTACTCTCTGAGGGGGAAACCGGCCCAGCAAGTGACATCAGCTCAGCGAGTCTGTGCAGTGCTGGGAATTGAACCCAGGAGTCCCGGCTCCTGGCCCCTGCTCTAACCCCTTGGCAACATCCCTCCCAGAGCTGGGACTAGAACCAGGAGTCCTGGTGCCTGTCGCTGCTCTAACCATTAGTACACACACCTTTCATGAAGCAGAGGTTTGCAGTTGGGCTCCCTAGGACACAAACCCAAGGGCTTCTACATCACAGCGTAGACTGGGGCTCAGGAGGAAATTAACCACCTGGATGTCCACTGGTCCCCTTTAGAAGAACCCAAAATAGAAAGGGAGGCAGACTCCTTTCTCTGCAGCATTCGTCACTGGCCACTGAAATAGTTGCCCTGTTGCCTTGTGCCCCGTGGCCCGTGCTGCGCCCTGTAGTTCCTGCAGCTCCCTGGTTGGTGACTGTCCTGTGCTAACACAGAGTCCTTCCTCTGCAGCAAGCCCTGGATGAGAATATGGAGCTTCTGGATGGGATCACAGGGTTTGAAGATTCAGTTAGGAAGTGTAAGTCTGGCTAATAATGTCACACTCTGCCCCGGTGCGCCCCGTTCCCTGATTGCAGTGTCCTCTTCCTGGTGGGGATCAGGGACCAGTCACCGAATCCCTTCTGGTGGCCGGCACGTCAGCTGGTAAGCCAGGGCCGTGAGTTTTGGGCTGGAGGTTCCTGCATTGTCCCTCTGGGAGCTGGGTGCTGAACCAGGGCTTGTTCACTCACTGTGTCTCATTGCCATCTAATGGGGCTTGATCCACCTGGGGCTAACACCTCACTCTTTCCAGCAGGTGGGTCAGGTTCAGCCCCAGCCATGCTGGGTGGGGAGGGGGAGGTCAGGTCATGTGGAAATAGCAACCTCTGTCTCTTCTGTGTCCTCACGTAGTCATCTGCCACGTGGTGGGGATCACGTACCAGCACATCGACCGGTGGCTGCTGGCTGAGGTGCTGGGTGACCTCTCAGGTAAGGCCCTTCAGTCCTCCAGCGCCTGCCATGGGCTCATGGGTGCCACCCGCACTCATTGTTTCCTTGGCAGGTCTCCCATCCCTGCTCTGAACTAGCTCAGCAATGACAAGCATCTCTCACAGGGCTCCTCCTGCCCCATGGTATTACCCCACAGACAGATCAGGGCTGTGCCTCTGCAGGCTGGGAGCAGACAGTCCCTACGGGGGGTGGGGGGCGTTGGCTGACCTGGAGGCTCATGTGTTGAGGAGATGCTGTGGGACTGATGAGTGGGCCCAGCTCAGCGCAGTTAAACCTGGGACTGAGCTCGGCTGTGCTGTAGCAAAGAACAGAATCCCATCCTGTGTTCCCTTGGCTGGGGATCTCTGCCCTCGTATCATGCATGGGGCAGGGTGCCTGACTGGGCTTGGATAGGAGCCGGGGGCTCCTGCCAGCCAGCTCTGTGATCTCAGCTGGCAGATTAAAAGGGGAAGAGCCAAGGTAGCAGGCAGCCCTGCTGCAGACTTGTGGGGCTAGAGGATCAGAGTTGGAGCAGCGCCCTAGCCCGCCTGGGGCTGGGTTCCTGTGTCACCCGAGCAGAGCTGCCCTGGCTGAGACTGGCCTGGCCTGCAGGCTCTCGCATCCACCGCTTCCCACGATGGTCCGTCCTTAGACGCGATCCCATCCGGCACTAATGGGAGTGGCAAAGGCTCAGCTGAACAAAGCTGAGAGCCCACCTGCTCAGCCTTCCGGCCCCTCTGTCTGCAGACAACCAGCTGAAGGTCTGGATGAGCAAATACGGTTGGACAGAAACAGAGTCGGGCAAGATCTTCATCTGTAACCAGGAGGAGAGCATCAAACCCAAGAATATAGTGGAGAAGATCGACTTTGACAGTAAGTGCTGAGTGCTCGCCTCGGCTCTGTGTCAGGCCCCTCGCTGGGATCACCCAGCTCTCAAAGGCCCCGGGGGCCTTGCTGGAGTAAAGCCTGCATCTGGGATCCAGCAGTGCCTGTTACAGGCTGTTAATCTGTGGGGGGTGGGAATGGATCCATTGAGCCGGGGTTTATTTCCACCCTTCCTCTGTTCGCAGGTGTCTCCAGCATCATGGCTTCCTCCCAGTGATGGGGCCTCCGTCACCACCCTCCTCACTGCTCCACGAGAACTCGCTCAGGGGCTCTGTTAGGTTCCCTTTTTAACACCAGTCGAACCTCGGCCAATAAAAGCACGTCGTTGATTCTGCCTCGGGCCTGTCTCCTTTCTTCTCCGTGCAGCCTTGAATGTGGGAACCTGGAGCTGATTGGCACTTGGGGGGGGGGGGGCAGCAGGCAGAACCCCAGGGGTCTAAGTGGGGCCCCAGCCAGCACAAGATCCCTGAGAAGCTGCTAGTTGCAATTGACCGCGCCAGAGAGGCGGTTGGTTCCAACACCGGGGGGGATTGTCAGCCAGGTGGCTCCAAGCAACGGGGTAGGAGGGCAGGGAGCAAGGGAGGCTGCTTTGGGGCTGAGCAAAGAGCTCTGCCCAGCTCTTGTCTCTGCCCCACCCTTGCCTCGTCCTGTGTCTGCCTCGAGGGACCCCACTGAGAGCAGAGCTCCGTCTGAGGCCCGTTCGGGCCTTTGCCCCTGTGCGAGCCAGGGTGGACACAGCAGCTGCCTATCAGTGCCCAGTGGCACTCAGGAGGGGAGAACTGAACGTGGGGGTGGGAAACGAAGGCTGGCAGCTTCCTACAGCCAGCACTGGGCGACGGGGTGCCCGCTGTCTGTGCCTTCAGGCAGGGACTGACTGTTCTGCATTGTGTGGTAGCCCTGGGGCACAAGGTGCTCTGTGTGACGCACCTGATATCAATGCTCGTTACCTCCAGCTCTCTGAGGGGAAGCCCTACGCTGCAAATGAGAGTGAGGGATGGCCAAGGGACTTACCAAAGGCGGTGCAGCTGGGAAGAGAACCCCGCAGGCCTGCTCCCATTCTCCGGCAAGGGGAGCATGGGGCTGGACAGCCTGTGGCAAGAACCAGCAGGAGCCATTTCCAGTGAGGGGTAAAGTGGAGGAAGGGTCTGGTGCTGCTCCCCCCTGCCTCCTGGGCTGGGCCCCAGTGGGGTTCTGCCTTCCAGTCCATGCTGGCTCGATTGCACAGAGCCTTGTCCTGCTGCGCTGGTCTCCTGACCAAACACCCAGTCAATACAGGACAAGCTGGCCAGGGAGCTGGCTGTCTCCTTGGGGAGCTGGAGCAGTGCTGCAGCCAGCCTGGAGTAGGCAGGAGCTGCTTTGAGGCTCCTGTTTAAACAGCAGGACTCCTGGGTTCTGTTCTTGGCTTGGGCGGGGCATGTGGCCTGAGGGCTGGAGCACGGCTCATGGGAGTCAGGCCGTCTGTGCTCTGTTCCCAGGGCTAGGAGCAGTTTGCCCCTCTGAGACACTTTTGCCTTCTCTTAGTGAAGCTGGTTCTGGGCACAACGCTGGTCCTTCAGGCCCTGAGGCTCCCTGCCTGCTGTGCCCAGTGCAATCCAGAGGGGGGCAGCAGCGCTCCACATCAGGCTTGGGTGAGCATCTGGCTGGTGCAGGAAGCATGGGAGGGAGCCGTGCGGCTTGTTCACTCTCGCCCTGCCCATGGCCTCATACTGGGCCTTGGGTTGGGGGCTGGAAGTCGGGGGGTAGCTAGTCTCCCCCTGCTCCGGTCGCAGTGAGGTGTCTCCTCTCAGACCCACGCGAATGAGAATTGTTCACTGCATCACGGCAAGGTGGGGGCGTCTCTGCCCCAGGCTGCTGGGTCGCTGCCAGCAAACCCCTGCCTCGGCCAGGTGCGTAGCTAGCAGGGGCCGAGACATCCCCCAGCGACCCCCCGTGCTGCAGGCGATGAGGCTGCCAGCCTGCACTGTGGCAGAGCCCCGGACCTCAGAGGGAAGGGGGACTCCAGCCATGCAGCAAGGGGCTGTTAAGGGCTGTTCTGACTCCAGCCCAGTCAGTGGCCCTAGTTCTGGCCTGGATCTAGCGGGTGGAGCTGAGAGACCCACCTGGGCAAGGTTGGAGTGTGTGTGAGGGAGATGCTTACAAGGTTGAGCCCATCCCCAGGCTGGATCGGCCCTGGCTTTGCTGCAGACATGCTGGACTGACACACAAGCTTTGTTCTGCCAAGGCCCTTTGGTAAACATCTGATGAAGTGAGCTGTAGCTCACGAAAGCTCATGCTCAAATAAATTGGTTAGTCTCTAAGGTGCCACAAGTACTCCTTTCCTTATCCAGCTCTGCGGCACAAAGGCCTTTTGTCTGCTGCTTTTTATAGCTGGCACTGTCCGGCTTTGCCGGAACATCCGTGTCCTGCTGCAATGTCGAATCTTCCTCCTGTTGTTTCCCTCTTCCTCCCCCCCATGCTAGGGTGAAGCTGTCTGGGATCCAGGACCGCTGACTGACTCTGGTTCAGGGCTTACCCCCTTGTGTTCATTCCCCGCAGAGCCCTGTCCCCGCCTCCTCCGCTACGGGTTGAAATGGGAAAGTCCGCAGCTTGATTCTGCAAGGTGAGGGCACCAGGAGGTGTTGGTTATGGGGGTGGAGTGCTGCTGGCTCAGAGCACGTGGGCTTCTGGGGGTGATGGGCTGGCTCAGCCCGCAGGGTCCTGCCTCTGCGATCAGCTGGCGAGAGCATTCCTCTAGCAAGAATGTGGAGCACTCCGGCGGTGTAACGGGAACAAGCTGCGGGGATTTGTCTTCCTGAGGCTGGAGAGATGTTGGCAAATGGCACGTGGACTGGGAGAGTGAAGGTGTGTTGAGGGGGAGCCATGGGGGGACGGGACAAGGATCCTTCACGCTTACAGCATGAAACTGAGGGCTTGATCCCATCCCGTCTGCACCCTGTGGGCGTGGCGTGTGCGGACGACAGCAGGATCGGGCCTAGGCATGGACAGACAGACACCTTGTCCCCGGATACTGTGCTGCTGTCTCCTGGTGCTTAGTGGGGTGTCTCGGGGGCTGTGCTGATACAGGGGCCCACGGGATCTTCAATGACCGGGAGAGGCCAGGACCTCCAGTGATTCCAGTCCTGCTCCTATTGCAGGGCTGTCCCTGGCCTGGGCTGCGTAATGATGCCTGCCCCTGCTTGGGCTGTCTGTGGGCAGTGGACGTTAGGACCTGTGGGTCTGTTGTCTGAGCTAAAATGACAGCCCTGTTTTCTGGAAGGCAGTAGCTGACTCTCAAGCCTCTCTATGTGCTGTAGCCACACCGAGGTAGGGTGTGTTAGCAGGGGCCACGCCGGGGCTGGGAACGGGAGTGTGTGCGTCTGTGTGTGTAGCTTCCTTTACCAGGCCTGTTTCTCTCCCTTTCCCTGTCCTCCCAGCTCCTGTCACCGGCTCGGTCCCATTCACTCCCTCTCACTGGACCACAAGATGCTGCCGTCCTTGTTTGCGAACGGGGGCGCGGGCTCTGAGAACACGCAGTTGGTGAACCCAGGTGGGAGCTGAAGGCAGCGGGGAGACACGATCTGGCCCAGCCCTGCATGCGTCTCAGCCTGCCAATTGTTCCTCCCCACGTGAGTGATGCCATTTAGCAGAGTTTCAGAGTAGCAGCCTTATTACTCTGGGAGTAGATGGGTCGTTACACAAAGTAAAACTATTTCCCCATGTTTATTTCCCCCCCCCCCCCCCCCGTTCCTCAGATGTTCTTGTCAACTGCTGGAAATGGCCCACCTGGATTATCACTACAAAAGGTCCCCGCTCTCCTGCTGGTAAAAGCTCACCTTAAGTGATCACTCTCCTTACAGTGTGTATGGTAACACCCATTGTTTCATGTTCTCTATGTATATAAATCTCCCCACTGTATTTTCCACTGAATGCATCCGATGAAGTGAGCTGTAGCTCACAAAAGCTTATGCTCAAGTAAATGGGTTTGTCTCTAAGGTGCCCAAGTCCCCCTTTTCATTTAGCAGAGTGTTTCTCAAACTGGGGGTCCCCACCCAAAAGGGGTTGCAAGACTATGGGAGAGGGGGTGTGAGAGCAGCAGCAGCTGCTGGCTGGGTGCCCAGCTCTGAAGGCAGAACCGCCACCAGCAGCAGGGCAGAAGTAAGGAGGGTGTGATATGGGGGGGGAGGGAGGGGGACGTCACAGCCCAAATGTTTTCAAAGGGGGTCCCAGCAAAAAAAGTTTGAGAACCTCTGGACTAGCATTTAGTGCCGAACATCCGGCCTGCCCCTATTAACAGCGTGGGCTGGGGTGGGAGGGAAGTTAAGATGATTGTTGCATGCTGGTGAGTCACGCACCCCCCCCCCCCGCTCTTTCTCCCCCCACTGAGAGCAAGCTCCTTCTTATGATAAATAGAGGATTCCGAGCCAGCGTCTAAATATATATGTCGCAGGAATGTTCAGCATCTCGCCACGCAGGAAATGGGAGGGCATAACCCTTGTTTCATATTTGCGGAGCTAAGAAATAAAACAAAAATGTGTGTGTGTGGGGGGGAATTGATAGAATTTCAAAATTGGCCGGGGGGGGGGGAAGCAGCCAAATCTGCGGGTCTGGTTCGTGGCCAATTCCCGGCTATATTGGGGGACTTTGCGTCCAAAAAGAGCTTTATATGGCAGCTTTCTGGAATACATTCCCCTTCTCTCCTTGTCAGCTATGATCTCACCGGATAGCACCTATGTTTAGAGGCTAACCCCTTGCATGAGGTTAAATATTCAGTGGGAAAATGATTGCAGCCGCTCTTAGGGTAGCTAGGACAGAAGGGCTGCTGCACATTGAAGTTGCTCTGGACATCAAGGTGAGAGCAGTACTAGAACTCAGATCTGCCTGCTCCAAAAGCCTAAGCCTTGAATTGAAGGAGAATCTCACCTAGGGGTTAGCAGTATAGAGCTTATGACACGTTGTTTGGATTCCATCCACAAGAAGGCAAGGGTGTGTATAAGTAGACACAGACACATTCTCGCCAGCTGGTTTATGACATACTCCCCTCTAGCCAGCGCTCGCAAAGATAAGGATAGATCTGATCCTTGAGTAGCGGGATCCCCAGGAGACCTGACACACTCTTGACTTCAGTGTAAGCAATCTGGGACCCCCAAGAGGACAGATCCCACCTCTCACACCAGTGTAAGAATCCATTGCCACCTCCTGGGATGTTTCCCTTAAACCTGAATGCAGTTGGCTCTGAGTGGTCTATTTTCCTCCTGCTTGACTGTGAACGTGCCATCACCTTTGGCCCTTGAGCGCCACTCGCTGTGATGGCTCTGGTGCCCTTCTCTCAGGAGTGAATGAAAATAAATCTCCTTAGAGTCGGTTTTCGGCCCAGTTCAGCCTCCGAGACGGGCTGTGAATGGGGTCAAAGAAATGCGAAGCCCAGCGCTGAGCTATCGAAAGTGACAAATGAAATGAAATGTTACAAATGCAATTCCGTTGGAGCAGGAAGCACGAGATGTGAGCTCCCCCGTCAGCTGCTTCATGTGTGGCAGAGGCTAACTGCACGGCATAGGGGAGGCCCTGAGGCTCCGCTTGGTCCTTGCGTGTTCCTCACGTCTGCCCAGGTAGCTCTGGCTCACGAGGAACAGTGTTGACTTTGTTCCCGATCCCAGAGGCCTTCCTGAAGCTTTGGCCCAAGTTCCGTGGGTACTGTAATAGAAGTGGGAGCAGCCAAAGAGGCTTACTCTGTCAGCTTTCCAGATGGAAAGAAAGAAAGGCTGTAAATGTTTTTTCCATTCCTGACGATCTGTTTTTCATTATGTCTAGCCCTGGCTCCCCGTCCTTCCTAGCCCAGTTCACAGATCTCCTCCTCCAGAGTAGGCTGGAGCTCTGGGTTTGGTTTCAGACCTGAATTGGGGCTCAGATCTGAGTCTAGGCCGTATTTGATTTGTTTTCTGAGATACCAACCCCACGAGGCAGACATGTCCCGTCATTTGTTGTTCCCCCAGGGCACCAGCCACATCCCACTTGGAACCAGCAATGGGTCCCTCTTTGTTGTGTAGTCAACCCAGGACTGGCCCCTGGGGTGGAGGCGGGTCCCTCGCTTCACACCTTGCAACAGGAAGGTGCTGGTTTCATCCCCTCCAATCATTTCCAGCCATGGCTTTTCCATACCGATTGGCAGAGAATCGCTCTCCTGGGAGCCCGGACTCCCCCTTGTGCCCCTGGCTCTGCCATCCAGCTCACTGGGCTGCCTGCTTGAATCGCAGCTGCCTCCAGCAGGGCTGCGGCTGAGAAACAAGGAGGGTTCTCGAAGTGACATCTGTGCCTGTGCTGGACATCAAGGATCCTCTCACGACGGAGGATGAGTCAAAGAGCCTCCCCTGCCCCACTGCACGGTCTTTAGAGCAGGAGAAGGGGGGGACTCTGTGGCAAGCCAGCCCTGCAAAACAGGCTGTGGGTCAAACAACGTGCTCCGTGGCTCTGTGTCCAAGACGGGAACGCTCAGGGGGCTATGGAGGCGCTCCCTGGGTTGAATCGAGCAGTGATCTTCTCTGCACCCTGAGAGAATAGAGGTTGTTGTGGCATAAAAATTCAGTAGCACAACTAGCCCCCTTTGTTGACCAGCCATGGAGATTAAACGGGGTCCCTCCAAGGCAGAGAGGATCACTGGTCTTTGCCCTGCCCCTGCCGTCAGATCCAGTCCCCAGGGCTATCCAGCGAGCACCTCTCACCAGTCGTTGCTACAAGGGGACCCAGTGTCACAATCTGGGGTGCAATCCAGACTAGTGAAAGACTAGTCACCACTTGTCCTGTAACCCTGAGTGCCTTAAAATGCTCTGCTGTCCTAGCTCCTTGTCTGGGTGGTCCCAGCCAGCATGCACTCAGGGTCTGTGTGTCTGCTTATTACCCCCCTGCCATGCTCTGAACTCCACCAGCCTTGGTGGCTACTGGCCAAGTGACCGCAACCCACCCCCAGTCCCAAATTTCCCCAACACCATCTGTCCTGCCATGTCCAGCCCTTTCCTCAATGCATTCAGGTCCATTGCACCTTTAAAGAGACAAAACCACAGCGGCTGGTTGCCTTAACTGGAATTAACAATTGCGTCAATTCAAACGCAGCACTGGGTTGGTTTCGATTAGAAGTAAAATACGTTCATTAACAGAAGAACTGGGATTAAGTGGTACCAAGTAGAAGGGATAAAGGTAGAGATGGTTACAACCAAATAAAGGGAAAACTCACAGCTAAAAGACTGAAACTTAACCCATCAAGACACAGTCGTGGTTCAAGGTAGATTTCTTCCCAATTTTTCTTTTCCTCATTCATGGCTGACTTCCTTTCAATCAGTCAGGGCCTTCCATAGAATTACAAGGTGCTGATTTCCCTCATATTCCTAGGTGAAAGATCTTTGCCTAAGCAGATTTCTCACCTACATTCAGTTCCCAGAGACTTCAACCCCCTTGGGTGAAGGATCCATCTTTCTCAGCTTGCTATGATGGCTTCTCCTCTCTCCTTATCTCTTCCCAAACTCAGTTTTGTCCCCAGACTCAGGATGACCTCATGCCGTTCTTCCCATCCCCCTGCTGATTCGTACATAAACGGAGCCTGTCTCTGCCTGATGACCAGCTGGTCGGATACACAAATATACACTCCTTTGTCTAGGGCAGAGTGGGTTGATGCATTGCTTGCCAAACACATTTTAGGAATGACCAAGTTGGGTGAGGTAATTTCTTTTATTGGAAGAAGTCAACCACTGATGGGCCTCTGTGTCCCACCCAGCTAATGCACCATGAAGCCTTCAGGTATTATACACCTGGCAAAAATGTCTTACTGGCACTGCTGCGCCATCCCAGCTGGGAGGCAACAGAGGAAGCTCTGCCTCATTTTTATGTCCTGAAAGCAGGGACATTAACGCAGCTGATGCTCGATACAGCCCTTGCAAGCCGTTGGCCGTAAAGCAGAAGTATGGGCTGAATGCCTCATGCTTCCCAAAGCACGTGAGCATGTGTCAGTGAAGTGAGTATATGCTTGTGAATGGCTGTATGCCCACACGCGTGAAGTGTGACTGTATGTGTGATGGGACTCTATTTTTGAATGCGTGTGAGAGACAGAAGGGTGTATGAGAAACATGACTATATTTATGAATCTACCTATGGGTCTCATACGAACCCTGTTACCGCAGTATCACAATCATCTTCACAAACCCCCTATGAGGTAGGGCAAGGCTCCTACCCCCATTATACAATGGGCAACTGAGGCACAGAGAGGCTAAGTGACTTACCGAGGTCACATGGTGCCTCCGTTTCTCCATCGGTGGCTGAGCAGGGAATTGAATGAGGGTTTCCCCAGTGCCAAGCCGATGCTCTAACCACTAGGCAGTCCTTCCTCTGAGCATGTGTCTGTGAATCTGTGTGTGCACACCTGAGAAACAGACTCAGTTTGTGAATCTATGTGTGTGTGTGTGTGCAGGGTGCACAGATGTGTGTGCATGCAAAGGGCCATGACTATGTCAGAGACACAACAATGTATTTATGAATACGTGTGGGTGACAATATGGGGCTTTGGGTAAAGATTTGCATGCGCCTTGTTAATGCTTATGACATACACATCACGGTATAAACCTATTCCAAGGGGTGACCTCAGAGTAAAACCCACCTCCCCTCCCAGCCACTCAGGGCTACCGCCACGCCTCAGCTTATTGTCATGCCACAAATTTGCCCACTCGAAGCCCACATGGGTCCAGAATGCAGCCGTACAGAGTTTGCTGTGAACCCCAAGGGATTGGTCAGAGCTTCATTCCTGGGCTCGCAGCCTCAGGGTAATTGCTGTGATAGAGGGCAAAGATGACTGCTCAGTCACAGAGCCTGATCATGGGAAAACTGCTTCCTTTCTGAGTGCAAACTGCGGTTACAAATTAGGGAACCTGTGGGCAGACCAAGGTTTTTTATATTAAGGCAGTTCCCTTCTCATCATGGCTTGGAGCCAGGCGTGAGCTTGGGTAGGCTACTC